GATCTCCTGGAATGAACTGGGTTTTTTTCAATAGATAGCACAAACAAACATATGAGACATATGTCTGATATTCGAATGGCCGAGTGTGTACCCCTTAAGAGAAAACGACCTTCCAATGAAACCCAGTGGGATAATTGCCTGTGTCATGTTAAATTTGATACACAAGATCCACTTTCAAAATTCACTTCAAAAAGCTGGGCAAAATTTAAGGAAAGTGCGGAAGTGCGAAAGGATAGGGTGTGGTTTGAATTGAAAGATTTCTGGGACGACGATGAGCCGAAGGGATTCTACCATCGTCAGTGCTATCAAAAGTATACCAACTTGATTGATGTAAAACGGTCAGAAATAAAAGATTGCTTACCTGAGCATTCTGTAGGCTCCAACCTCGAAAACATCAACCCCTTGAATTCTGAATCTCAAAAACGTTTTAGTAGATCTACGATAAAGCCATTTCAGAAAGACAAATGCATCATMTGTCAACAAGATAAATTCTTGAAAAGACATAATCAACCAAAATCGAGAGAAAAATTGATTCAGAATATTAGTGAATTCGGCAGTTCTGGACTTTTAAGGGCAGCTCAAATCCGAAACGACAGAAGGGTATTGCTTGAGATAGAAGCACAAGATGCAATTGCTCTTGGAATAAAGTATCATCAATCCTGTTATAAAGAATACGTGCGGCGAGAAAGCCTAGCAAAGCTTGAAGAAAACAACTGTGGTCAAGAAGATGATTCATCCAACCACTATAAAGCTGCCTTTGAAGGTGTAGTGGAATACGTCCGACGAGAAATCATCGTAAATGAAAACATTGTTAGTATGTCAGTCCTTCTAGATATGTTCACACGAAAATTAAGTGAGCTTGGTATCGCTGCATCAACATACCGATCTTCAAAACTAAAACAACGACTGAAAAAGGCATTCGGCGACACTTTGTCTTTTCAGCAGCCTTACGCACAGAATCAGTCTGAGCTTGTGTTTAATGCGAACATCAAGAAAGGCGATGTAATCGAAGCAGTATATTCAGCATCAGTTCAAGATGTCGACATTCCAGCAGACCAACATCATGTCGATCCTCCAGAATATCTTAATATCACCCAATCATCTCAAGTTTACCATGCTTCAAAGATCTTAAGAAAGGCTTTGCTTGATGTAAAGCCAAATATGAAATGGCCACCAACTGTTCAAGACCTGGAGACAGACAAAGACTTAGTTCCGGACTTGGTTTACAATATGCTTACTTGGATGTTTACTGACAAAGTCGAGTTTTCAGAAGAAAGAGTGACCAATGTACCATCAGATGTCCACAGAATTGCGCTATCAATGGCTCAAGACATGATTCATACTGTATCTCGCGGACGTGTGAAAACACCGAAACATGTTGCCCTTCCATTGACTGTGAAAAGTCTTACCGGAAATTCAGAGGTCCTTACCCTTCTAAATCGCTTTGGTCATGGTTTGTCTTATTCACAGATAGAGGAAGTTGAAACAGCAATAGCAGAACGGCAGATCGAAAGAAACAACGAAGGAATCCTACAAATGCCCGTATACCTGAAATACCTGCTATATTTTGTTGGGACAACAATGATCTCCAAGAAGAAACATTGTCAGGTATTCTAAATTAATGTATGCCCACATAGATGATCCAAAATTATTTTTGTCTATATTTCAAATAAATATGCCTTTTTATGAATTTAGGAAAAGGGACGACCCATTGTACAAATGGAATTGTGATCCAAAGGAAAGTGCATGCATGTTTACCTCCCCCAGCCACATCTGATGCTCAATCGCGGTCAAAGAGGCGATCTGTGACTGGAATCCACACAGAAGTTCTTCCTTACAATTCAGGTCGGAGAAAAGGTCCCAATCCTGTTACAGCCAATGAAAATACAATCCTGAAATCAGATCCCAATGTTGTAGAATACGCACATCTCTTAGACTTTGGATGGTTGCTTTGCCGTCTGTCCTTGCAAGATACCTTATTTGATTACAATGATATCCAACAACAAGTACTTCCATCATGGTCTGCCTTCAATGCTGATTTGAAAAGTTCAAACATGCACAGAGAATGCCAGGTTAACTACTGCCCTGTAGTTGAAGCAAGCCCGACAGAGTTATCCACAGTGTTCACAGTCTTGAAGAATACCATAAACATGGCTAATCAACTTGGTCAGGAAGATGCTGTTATAGTTCTCGACCAAACCATATATGCCAAAGCATTAGAAATTATCTGGCAAAACGAGCAGGAATTCCAACGTCTAGTTGTCAGAATGGGCGCATTCCATGTCACATGTGCTTATCTTGCAGCAATTGGAAAACGCTTCGGAGATGCTGGTCTCTCAGATATTCTTATTGAAAGTGGTGTTCTTGCATCTGGTTCAGTGGCCGGTGTGCTGGAGGGTCGTCACTATAATCGCGCTGTGCGCATGCATAAGGTATCAAATTAGTCTTTCAATTGTCAGCTTGACACATGAGACAAAAAGTAAATTAAAAAGTAAAATACTCTTTTTTAAATTTTCTTTTTCAGATTGTGTTTGAAGCATTGCATAGAGTTTTATGGCTGTCCTTCGGAAAGTGGCTCAAACAACGAGTGNAGCTACACTAGCTACACCGCTACAATCTACGCTGTTTTACTGTATTGAGTTGCACGACATGTATATATGGAAAAACGTGGACGTCAAGTATATTTCGTGATCGGATATCATGAGCACATAACCAGATTTCATTTCAAATACAGATAGCTATCTCCAGCTATGAGTACGAGTTCACTAGTTCTTGTCTTTAAGASAGTRCAATTTCTCAGACCATTCATGAAATCAAATATGAACGTATCCTAACTTGTTTTTGTTTCATTAACGTTGCTAACAGGTATACACTGAGGCAGGACACTTACTTGCTCAAGAATCATGCTCAGCTCCTTCCRGAACTGTAAGACACTCATTCCTATAGTTTCATCATAAAGCTCGTAATAAGCAACAACACAAAATCGACTTCAGTTTATGCAATATGTTACGTTATAGACAAATCTTGAAAAGGTACTGCAAATTGAAATCTCCAGGATCGGTACCCATTTCCATTGACTTCTTGCTTTTCTTTACTATGACCTTAAAAAATAACTAAACTGAATTTCTACAAACGTTCTGTAAACTCCCTGTAATTTTCAAAGTGTAATTCTACATTTCCTTAATTTTTTTTCATAGCAAAACTATAATAATAATAATTATTACTTCTGATGATTTGACAGATCCACAATCTACGAACACGACAAATCAGACAAATGCTAAGAATACAAGAATGGCTGATTACAAGATCACGAAGGACAACTTTTCACATCCCTGACAGTGTGGACTAAACCTAACCAAAAACATTCTGCAACTTTTAATATATATATTTATATGTATGTCTTCTGCTCTTGATAGATTAAACAATAGGGAAACAAAAAGACATATATATATATTGAAAGTTGCAGAATATTTTTGGTTAGGTGTATATATATTTATTGGAATATGAGCAAAAAAGATCATAATTTTTGCATATTGCTGTTAACCATATGTGAAGTGACATCACTGTTGTTATGGTGCTGATACTTTTTCTGACCAATCAGATCAATATGTTTATATTAGTTCGATAGATCGATATGTATATAAAACATATATAGAACACGCGAACGAGTGAGATATCGATGTAACACGAGAAGATAAAATCAGTATTTCCAAGCGACCATGTAATATCCTTTATAAAATTTTTGATATATAACGCGCTCTGATTGGCTGACGACCGTGTTTCATTTTATAGATATGATAATTAGGCTAACWTTATTWCATATATTAGCATCCATTTAATGGGTCAGCAACAGTGTTTATCAACAATGCGTACATTGTACTTGAATGCGTTACCATGTTTACAGTTTTTTTGGTCCAAAAGAAAACTAAAAGCCAGTCTCACATGAAGTATTACGCGACGCAAAGATCCAACAGTTGTATGACGTTTTTTTGGAATGTATYAACAAATTCTGTAATATAGACTCGGGTATACTTAAGGGTATATCGTTTTCTTTTATCTTAATTGAGATATTATGCGCTAACATTTAGTTGCTGTTTGTTGGATTAGAATCTGATTAAACCCAACAGACAAAATTGGACTATAGTAAAATAAAAACAAAAGAAAAAAAACCTAAGGTGTACTAAATGTTGTATCTATTTCACGGTTTTTTGCCTTCACACTTCACTCTAAGAGCCCAATGACGAACAAATCTAATAGTCAAGATGAAATAGTCGAATGGGCACACAGGAAAACAATGGTATAAGCGACTAAAATCATAAAGTGTACTGCACATGTCTATATGCTCCCTATTCATGAAAAACTCATCATGATCATTAGCTACCAATAAGTTCAGTTAAATACTACAATTTGAATGTAGAATATAATTGAGCCGCTTCAAACACTGTTGAACACTTTACCGGGAATAGTCCCTACTTTGATGTGTTTGAACACATTCCCACAGTTTGGATGTGGATGAGCAAACTCAGAGTTGACGTTCGMAGTTCTGTAGTTCATAATAGTTAAACAATAGCCCACTAATTTCAAAATAACTGAAGACGAGGAAATAAAAGAATTATTATCTACTGCTTCCCCAGGATTAATACATTTTAGCCTGGTCAAGTAAAATTAAAACGTTTGCCTCAAGACGAGTTCAAGAAAGTATGTTTTGGCTGCACGGCAGACAGCGAGCGATACAAAGCTTTGATTATTCATGTGCCAATGTAGGAGGGTGCATGCCAACAGGGATGAGACCCCTTAATATAAATATGATAGAGATAGATAGTTTGAAAGTGAATGAAAACGTTTATATCAAGAACTATATATTTAGTCAAAATTGTGATTTCTATAAAGAAAAGTTCGTCACATTACCCAAATATTCGGTTTATGCTGACAATAACAACAAAATTGTCATAGCAGAGTGATTTTATGCAGTACGTGAACATATTTGCACGAAAATTAATTGACCAATAGAAAAAAAAAGTAATGGATGATGTCATCTTTATATGTTTCGCGCTAAAAATTAAAATTTCGTTTTACCGCCAAATATGCTAATCTACAAATATAAGCCCATAGAACAATAAGTATATTCATTCAAAGTTCTGTAGGCTATGTCACCGGGTAATTGAAAATGTTATAATTTCTATTCCGTAGTGTAATTTTATTTATACAACTTTTCAGTNAATATAGATTTCAAAATATCATCTATATTTCATAAGTTTTCAATTTTACTCATTACCCCCCTTGTAAAACAGACAAATTGCCATTATCAGACAAAAAAAACTGAAAAAAAAAATTGGGAAAATTGATTTTTACCTTTTACTTGCGCCATTATAAACAGTAGAGGATCAATAATGAAACCAAAAAAGAAAACTCCAGACTTTGAGTACAATATTGTGACAAACAATTCCCGAAAACGTTTGTCAAAATTACAACAGGGAAAAAGGCCACAGTTAACAATCTACTGGTACYGAACGCGCACAATGACACAAATATCAGCAAGGGAATAAAGCGAAATACAGAAATACGTTTTTTAGACATTTTTAGTGATAGTCATACCTTCTTTCCRGCATCCGTTTAAGAGTTTTCGGCCTTTAGGATATCAAAAAAGAGCCAATTTTTCATAGCAATCACTGTTAGTTGRACAACGAGATAACTGTGGCAAATACTAGACTCGAGCCCTGTGTGACCTGATGCATATAAACAAGGCCTGCTGGGTATCTCACGGATTGGTTAAGGGGGCATTGTGGGTTATATCAAAAGAGACTCAAATCAAAGACCAGGTCTCARTGRGGTTTGAAGCGATAAATCAATGGMGTACATAGAATTAACCTGTTTAACAATCAGTTTGCATAACAAGTATCTGGATTCTAAGTAAATTAGATTGTGCAACATCCTGCTTCAGTTGCACCAAAATCAACCGTTAAAYAAGTACAAGCCAAACTGGTGGATGAGCTACCAGCCAAATTATTAAGTACACCCATAGGCTAGTATGCAAAAATAATCACATTAACAAGACAACACGCAAAGCCCAAGTATGAAAATATCGGGAACTTACGTTTGGATTGAAAATAGTTTAGTTACGGAAGCAAAATACAGGGTCTCAGTGCAGAGTATCAAAAATGAAATTTAAGGACTTTTCAAGGATCAAAATTGTATTTTCAAGGAACATCATAATCATGCTAATTGTACATTTTCACCTCACAACTTCAGCCGAACGGAATAATTCAGAKATCGCTACCGCTTCGTGATATAGATCTATCTTTTTCAAGGAGTTTTCAAGGACTTTTTCGAAATTTTCAAATTTTCAAGGAGTTTCAAGTGCCCTTGAAAACGAGTTTTCAATTCAAGCACTTTTCAAGGATTTAGGGACCTKCACGGACCCTGAAAATATCAAAATGCTAGTACCTTTCGTTCGATTTGCTTCCTTCAAAATGCTTATTCTCTCTTACTTCAATATAACTTTAGCTCGACATCAAACTCGCTCCTAGTCCTTCTCATCAGCATCTCAAGACAGGGATACCAAAACATGCACACATTTCTGCTCATGCGTACTACAGGTTGGAATTAGAACAGTCGTGMAAACAAAGACATCTTAATACAGAAAGAAATGCATTTTGTTTAACAATTCCATCGGCGTTATCTGAAGCAAATTTGATAAATACAGGATATTACATGGGCGCGCGGAGATACGGATTTTGTCTTCGAGYGTTGAAAGGAGTGTTGAAAGATTTTCGACACGAGAAGATAAAATTCGTATCTCCAAGCGACCATGTAATATTCTGTTTATCATATAATTACATATGAAAGCAAATTATGTCGTAAAATAGCTTTTTTCTTACTTCCACTATATAGGGAAACCTCGAATGTGTTATTTACACTAGTGAAAATATCAATTTTACGAAATGGAGAAATATAGGTATTTTATAGATAATTATATGATAGACTAATATATTTTATATCAATCGTTGAGATATTGTATAATATTTGGTGAACCGCACACCGACGCTAGTGAGGAATTGAATTGAAACGTTCGTCAAACTTGAAAATCAAAATCTAATTTCTTCGATAACTGAACTCAACAAGGTGAAACTAGATCCCTGACGAGCACCCCCGCCCTCTTACATATGCTGTCTGGGACTTTCAACTATACAGGCCCCAAAGTAACACGGGAATAGTTTGCTAAACGGCACTAAGCAAAATACACATCAATACGTGCATCAAATCTTTGTATAGGAAACATTCAAGTAAATTGTATAAGATTAATTACGTTCTGGTGATTATTSTTTTCTTATTAACCTTCAAAAACTTATCTAGTAAACGGAGAGTACCGAATCGAATAGTGAATGAATAACAGCATGCGTGCATTAGTCCTAGTGCTTTAGTAAGTCCATGTAAAGAAGATAGCGATAAAACTGCATTTGAACTAAGAATAATAAACATATCAATGTCTCTTTAACGAGCTTAAGAGGTTTATCAGATATCTTCTAACGGTTAAATTAATAGTAAAATTATCAGTTAGAGATAATTGGCGCTAACAATTCAGAAAAAAATGATACACCGCATTTCTAGGCATAACATGAGCGTGCCAATCAGCCTACTCGGGCGTTCCTTGGTAATTGGCCTCCAGCTTAGTCCAATTATCCCTCGGGCTTCTTCGGTAATTGGACCCTAACCAATGAAATTGCGTGCAAACCAAACTCAATTATATATCGTTATATAAACTCTGAAGACAAATATGTATTGAATATGTAGTCAGATGAAGTGTATACCATTTGCGGTGAAAAGGTTAGAAGAAGCAACAACAACACTCTAGTTTGGTAGTGTACGCCATGGAAGATTCATTCAATCAAAGCAGATTTGAAAAAAACACAAGCTCAGAAAGTCCTCTATTTCAAAATGAAGAAACAGCTTTTAAAGCTACAAAGTTTGTTATTTCA